ATTGCGAGTTATCTGTAAAGTCGTTAAAAAATCGCCGCCCTAGTGAATGTACTCAAGTGTGAGTACTCAAAAAGTACTCTGCTAGAAAACCCGGACGAGTACTCATACATTTTTTTACTTACATGAGTACTCATGAGTGAGTAACGAGTACGGTGGGTACGACTTTGAGTACTCATGCTTAGGTATTGTTGAACACTCATACAAGTTTCGACAAAATACTCATGAGTATTGTTCATCTGATATTTTCATATAGTCGAGTGATCTCAGTTAGTCAGGGTAGGACCACAAGTCTATCTCTGACTATATACAGCGAGGCAAGTGAGAAAATATTAATATAAATATTCTGTGTTTCTTCACTAAATTCTACATTCGTTATATAGTTTCAGTTTAGCAAAATAAAACGGTGAATGAATATTTCCTAAGCGCTCACATGAGTACCTGAGTACTCACTGAGTTACAATACTCAGAAATTGTTAATAGTACCAATATGAGTGAGTACTCATGGACAAATTATGAATAAAGTCGTACTCAGCGTATGAGTACTTTCATCAGGGCAATTTATTGACGAATAACGACTGACTAATCGCTAAAAAAACCGTTGATTTATTGCCGATTTTGGCTACATGGGGAGAAATAATCTTTGGCTTTTAAAAGTCGAATAGCCCCGCTTCATTTCCTGTACCAAGGCGAAGAAATCAAATTCCCTTCTTTTTACTTTTAGTAAAATTTGTGTTCGTGGCTGGAAAAAAGTTTGCAGCGAACTTATGTTCACCAAAAGCTTAAAATAGTCGAAAAATTTCGAAATACACACTATTCGATTCAGTTTTTGTGATCCTGATTCTGAATATGATATTTCTATTGCACAAAAGTTGAGTTTTGTTCGGGAAAATCGCGATTTACGGACAGATTTTCGACTTTTTTCCCTCTGATTCGGTAAAATCGATGTTTCTCCATGAGGAAGCGAAGGTTTTTCGAACGCATGCATGCTTTTGTTCGCCTATTAATGGCGGTTCGAATGATACGTATAATTGGTGGGGAACGCTTTTAATGCAAAGACTACATAGGTTTGACGCACAGGGGTCTCGAAGGCCATCTGGCTTAAGCGCTAGAATAGATAAAATACCCTCTCGAACTTGAAACTGAAGTGAAAACTCCGATGATTTGTCGAAGTAGGAATCCGCAGTAAGAACGATTAAAGTAGGATATTTACTTTAGTATCTGGTTTCTTCCTCCCTGTTAATTTTGCATCTATCTGACAAACACAACTGTCTCTTCCACATACATACGATATCCATTCTGAGGCTTAATCATGGAAGTCTAAGTGCTATCCATTTCACAACAGAATGCACCTCACCATTTTTTAAATAACTCTTATAACTAACGATTGATACAAAGCTGCAGTTTTCATCAGTCGGCGATGGAAACCATGAGACATGTTTTAGAAAAAGGCAAGCCCATTAAACGCTTTCTCACAGTTAGTTTTTACAGAATCTTTGCATAATCAGTTCGAATTTGCACCAGTGGTGCAAAATAATTAATTATAATGCTCAAGATTTTTCACTTTAAACAGGAAGTTAAGTGGCTTTCTTTTTCAATTATTCACATCTAGCATAAAATTTTCTAGGAACCCAGAAGAGAATTCATTCTAGTGTCAAATGAAAGGCCGTACTCGATAGTCTTGACACTATTTCTTATCTTTTTATTGGAGCAGAACATTGAGTCTATCAATTTGAAAACAAGAACACAAAAGATGTAACGAACAAGATGGTTCGTTCTTGCGCACCTTATGACGGCTCACAAGACTCACTTAAAAAAAAAGAAAATACATTTTCTGACACTTCCGACTATGCTCTACAATCTGGCATAAACGGTTTTGTTTACTTTTGAAAAAAATACTCAATCAGCGAAGTGTCGCGTTGCGTGGACAAGACGCGTACCATTAATTCTTGTTAGTAAATTCCAATGCCAAAGTTTCTCGGAAAGTTAGTGTAGATAAACAATACCTTTTTATTCGGAGTAATGAATAACTTCTAAAGTTCTATACATGGCATTCGAACATCCAAAAAGTCCCACACTACTTCTTCTGCTCTTCATAGTGACTGATCTAATCTACTACAGTGGCAAATATAGGGGTCAAAGATATGTGCGTATTTCAGTAACTAGTCAAATCTGACCAAAGATGTTTGAAATTAATTACCAGATAGTTAGTGGTCATGAGTGGTTTGCAAAACAAATTTCTTCAAATTCATCTATTAAAGTAGTCAAACTAAATGTTTTTCGTCTGTAACCAATAGTTAACCTTCATATTTTGGATGAATAACTTTGAGGCATTGCCAGGTATTCGGTGCAGATTTTGTACCCTATAAAAATTTTGCTGGGCGGAGTTATGAATCTGTTTTTCGTACACAAATTTTAAAAGTGATTCTCTATCGTAAAATATCCGTGTTTCAGTAATAACTAACACTTCAAATGCATACGATAGCTACAGAAACGTGATGACTACATTTTGCTAATAAGAAAAAGTTTCCATCTCTGTGGATCAGGATTTATTAGCATTTTCACAGAAAGAATATCACACGAGTCATCCAGTAAAGAAGGTCTAAATTTGCTTGATCGGCATTCCGTGAGAGCTATAGCCATACAAAATGACGATTTTACCAGAATCACGACTACCCTAGAAAATGTCCAGTTTGTCTGGTCTTGAAAACAGAGTGAAGACTTATTTACTTACAGGTGTCTGTTTCCTGTGTTTTTTCTTGTTTTGGTCAGCTCCAAGGTCAGAACAAGCAAGTGACAAGACCAGATTTAAGACAGTCTGTTTTTTCTACTGATCAGACAAACAGTAAATTTTTGTCTAGCCTTGGTATTTTCCAAGAAATAGACATTAGTTAGGTTCAAGACCAGAACTAGGTTTTTTTTCATAATCACCGTTTTGTTTTGCTAAGTCACACAGTATATAGTGACCGCTAATTCTTCAAAAAATTTCAAACTTATTCTCAAATGAGTAATAGATTAGTATTAGATTAGTAGTAATAGATGCTTAGAGATTTGTACTGAACAAGAGATATCGAACGAGTCTGATAGTTACATTGGAAGGTCTCCAGAAAAATTTCTGAATTTCTACTGATTTTTGCGCAGTATGGGCGATTAGCGAGCAGCACAACTAATTTTTGCATATATACAACAAGCTCGCGGTGATTTCTTTCACTGATCAGGAGAAGAATAGGTTCTGACCAGGAAAACAGCCAAGGACGTTTTTTACTTACAGATATCTGATCAGTAGTCTGACCAGAGAAACTGAACATTCTCAGTTATATCCATCTACATTACCAGTATATCCATCTTCGACTTCTCTTTCACTCTCTCATATAAGAAGAGAAAAGAGGGAGAATAGATAATGGAACAATCTATATTAGTGAGGAGTGTTAATGGGAAAAATAGATATTCTTCAGACAAATAACAGTTCATGTGTTACTAGCGCAGAATACTCCTACTCATATGAATATGTGATGTACATGTCTAATTCTTGATGTGTATTTATTATTAAAAGTAAATCATGTAATAAAGTTGTTCTTTGAAAAGAAATGAGATGAACAAATGTAAACTGTACAATTAGATAAATGCACAATAACACACATTTTTTTATTCGAAAGCATTGTCTAGTGGTATTCTTTTCAAAAAATAAATCGGTAAAGAACGAATAAAAAACGGTATCACTCGGATATCGATTTACAATATGATAACAACAATATTAGGTGTAAAGAAAATTAAATGAATTATCAGCTTGTACTGGAAAAATAAGACAGCAGCACTAGATTTTTATAAAAATAAAACTATTCAATAAATAACCAAGTAACAATAAATAGAATGAATGGACAAGATGAGTGATTGATGATTACGAATATCTCAGAAACTAGAATAAAACGAAAAAACTATTTGAAATTGATTCTTCTAAATCGATCATATTAAAAACACACTAGAATTTATATTTCAAGCGACTTATTACTGCATCATATAAGTATTTTGATTTTTAGAGCTAGAGAGAAAATGATCATAACTCTATCAGAAAACATGGTGAAGAGCTGGGAAACATCTGTTAGAGAAACCTTTACTCTACACGACTGACTGTTTCAAAAATTTGTTAAGTACTGAATGAAAGAGAAAATAGTTTCGAGAGTAAAAAATTGGGTTTTTTTCGGCGTAAAGTAACAAACTTTAAAAAAAGTCCTGTCTCCTCAATGGAAGGCCTTGAAGAGCAGAGTGATCTTATTTTGTAGACGACACCTTACTCTATAATGCACAATATTTAACTCAAAAATAAAAAAATTTCTAAAAGAAGTCTAAAAGAAGAGGGCGTTTACCTTTAATTTTCTCCGATGGTACACATTAGGATTCGACAATATATACACTACCCGATAGAGCAAGTTTTCCTCTACAAGCTCATATATATCCCGTTCTGTAGTCAAAAATCACCGCAGGAGTGTAATCGGTATCAAAACTGCGATATCGGTACCGATCACCGGTACACAATCTTCGCACAAGTACCGGCCGGTATACCGATCGGTACCGGCTTTTCTTGATCGTGTTTTGCATAAATACAAACACTTTTTCCTTGTTTATAGAAATATGTCATAGATGAACTGAATTTACACGGTATTTTTCGTCAAATCGTATCATACTGCAAAAGACCAGTAATGTCGACCGATTGATTATACTTCATACTAATGCCGGTATACCAGTCGCCGTTAAAATTCATGCTGGTCTATCGGTCGCCATTATAATTCATACCGGTACCGGTTGCACCTCTGAATCACCGTGAAATTTATAGTCGCCTTTTGTGGTTTTCTACTAAAACCTTCCGGTTTTTACGTACATAAAAAAACGGAATCCGTACCCGTAACTGCTCTACGCGTACCCGACAACGTTGTACCCGTACACAACCTTCGGGTCGGATCGGGTTCCAAATATCTAGTACTAACTTAAGAAAAGTTCGTACTTCATCATGAGCTTACCGAGAAGAGTTTAGTTGGTTTTGGCGTCAGATTTGCTCGTGGTATTGCAAAAATAGGGTTAAGCGCTTCCACAAACTCGTCATTTTGATTATCGTTTTTGGTCATATCATCAAGCATGTTGGCAATAAATTCGATTTCACCGAAATCGTCGAAATCTGAAAATGTATCTGAAGTTATATTATTTTTCACTGGTAAATTATTCAATGTATCGATTGTAAATGAAATTTGTGAACGTGGTATTGAATTATTCATTAATGAAATGTTTTCTAAATTTTTAAAAAACTCACTATCAATTGTTCCCATGGTTTGTTTACTGTCATCCATAGTACGATAGGTGGATGAAGTCGGTTGTTGGGCTGATAGATTCGATGACTCATTATCACTATCACGTTCGATATTAGTAAAACCTTCTTTGTCAAGAGGTATCATGCTGCCGACTGTTGGAAGTTTTGCACGTGGAATACGCCATATAGGTCTGTAAGATGTCTTTTGTCTGAAAATGAAAACTATGTATGATGAGACAAAGTTTAATTTAAATGATACCTACGTTGTTGTGCTATATCGTTTCTGATAAACAAAGTAAGTACACATACATAATACAGTGATAAGCACTAAACCTGCAATACCACTAATGATACCGATTATCAGCGGCCAATTTGTTGACGCAGCAGATTGTAATGATGATTCCGTTGAATTCTCGCAGTATGGTGGCTCATATGTAATCGTTTTATTTGCAAAACAATAACAAGAATTATTATTTTTATCACATAGGCCGGTTTGCAAATATTCGCATATGATACATTGAGGTTGTGGTCCCCAAATGTCTTCTGTCAAAAGAAATTTTTATTTTTTATAGCAATTATTAACTGAATATAAAAGTTTAGTATTATTAATTTTAGTTATTTAGAGATAAATAATTTAATTCTAGATCTATTTGATAAATTATGAATCCTTATTTTTATTTTACCTATAATATTGGTCTGTGTGTTCATTATCATTTGAATTAAATTAATAGAAACATTATTTACAATACTAAATAGACTGTTGACTAATGACCACCGCTGTGTTATATCTAGGACGTCATCTATATTCGCAATAAGAATGTTATCACTAATACTACCGTTTCTAAACACAATAGTTATCCATATGAAAAATATTGACAGAAAAATACATAAGAGATAATACTCACAGATAGTGAAGGAAGTCTACCGTAGAGCAATTATTACAAATTGAATTGTTCGTTGTGAAACTATGAAGCTACAAAGATTAGAGAATGAGAAATGATCCCAATGATCACTACAGTCAAAGGGATTAAATAAAAGAACTCTCTGTTCTTTGCAATTTCCTCCATGTGTTTATCACCATTACGTCTCACATTCTTTTGTGATAAAATGTGGGCAAGTACAAAAGGAGTGTTCTCATTTGACGCAATAAATTTTCACTTTGCAACTGCACTGTTCTAAATTACGGATTTTTTTGAAAAATATTATCACTTGCATTCCCAATCGGTTGTTTGAGGGGTATTTCGAGTGCTCGAAAATATGCTTTCGATGAGCGCTCGGAAAATGACACTTCGGATCCCCGATATAAGCTTCTCGAGGTAGAGCTTTTAGCTTGTTGTAACATCGCTGTTCGACGGCTCGAAATTTTTCTCGAGGACTCACTACCTATCCGAAATCCAAGGGCTAGAAGTCGATACCCCTCGAAAGCTTATATCGAGGATCCGAAGTGTCATTTTTCGAGGATTCAAGCCCTCGGTGAGGGTCTATTTTCGAGTACTCGCCCCACACCTCGAATCTGCATGGATTATGAGAGAAACTGATTTTACTTGCGCCAGACCAGTTCAGCTGAAATTTTGGCAAATCAATAACAAAACCCAGATCACAAAAATATCTCGCAAATTCTAGAATGCATAAGTACGAAAACTTTCTTAAGAGCCATTGCAGATAAGCGACGACCAAGTACTGCAAAAACTGCTCTTAAGCCACGATCAACCATGCTCATTCAACTTTCTCCAAACTTGATTTCAATTACATAGGTCAAAAGTACAATCAATAGTAAATGTTTTTTGCCGCAAATCGCAGCTCTACAACCCAAGTAGTTATTGAGATATTTAAATTTTTTAGAAAAGTTGCCATTTTTTTAGTAGTGACTTAGGATCAATTATCGTTTAATCTTGAGTGTGTTATTTTCTAACTGCTGACTTAGAGACACGAAAATTTCAGCACAGATACAACTTGGATCAGGCTAGAAAACAGTGCGAATCTGGACTCTAGAGGTCGTTTTATTATCAAGTTACAGATGGCACTACTACTACTACTACTTCACCATTCATTATGTCGTGCGTAACCGGCTCAGTAAGGCTGAGACTTTTAGGGGAGATACTAGAAGAGTAGAGTGTTAAAACGGCAAAAGAAAAACTTTGGACTTTCAAGAAAAACGCGAGATGTTGAGTTCGCCGAACTTGTCGAACGTCTGCGGACCACATTACCTAACGCAGGACCTTGAACTTGGTATCAAATGGAAGAGCGCGTCGAGTTCTATATATTTCAATGAAGAAAAGTTATGCTACTCCTTGGGGCTTGAGATGGAGATCCCTGAAAAACTCGATTTCGTAAAATTTCTTTCAGAAGCTTTTCAACCATATCATTAGATAGCCCCTTCAATTCTCCACAAAATGAGATGCTGGTAAGTTTCTACAATCTTGGACGACCAAGTTACAGGCTTTTCACATTACGTAAATATATACATTATATAAACTCATTTCCTTTATTGCCATTATCGAGCAGTGTCGTATTTTCTATGACACGTTTTAACAGAAGATCGTAGAAAGTTGACCAGCATCCCATTTTGTGGAGAATTGAAGGGGCTGTCTAATGATATGGTTGAAAAGCTTCTGAAAGAAATTTTACGAAATCGAGTTTTTCAGGGATCTCCATCTCAAGCTCCAAGGAGTAGCATAACTTTTCTTCATTGAAATATATAGAACTCGACGCGCTCTT